TTGGATATATGATAAACAAAACGACTGTTTGAGAAACATCTTGATAGTAAGTTGATAGTATTAAAACATTTAGCTATCTACTATGCTTAAATTTATCTTTCAATTTTAAGTTTTGAATTTATAATGTTATAATGTTATAATTTTAAAAGTTAGCAAGATTTATTTTTTCTTTATTTCCATTTATTATTTTGTCTTATCAAGATTCATTTACTCAATTGCAAGAAATACAGTAAATGTCAGAATTCAACTCAGAATTGGAAATTATAGCCAGGCTGTATAGTCCAAAATGGACTATAAACTTAAAATTGCAAACAAACAAATAAATAATAATGTTGGCAAAAACTTTGTTATTTGTATAATTATGGCTGTTTTTTTACTCGATTGGGAGATTATATCTAAGTTATAAAGTCAATGCAAAATAGCATTTAGAATAACAATATAATACTATTATTACATCTATTTGACAAATTTTTATATATTTAAAAATTTATGTTTCTACAAAACTTTGTATTCAAGAGAATACAAATAATATTGATCATTTCCATGTCAGAACAATACAAAGCAACTAAAGATGTTTAAATACATTGGCTCTTGTCTACCCCATTTGAAAGCGTCACCTGCATATTTAGGGAATCATTATCAGTTATGTGGTTGTCCCACCCCTACACACAAACACACCAATTATCATCAGTTATATGCCCCACTCAGACACACCAGAGCAGGGAAACAGATGAAAAGCATTTCAGTGACCTCAACTGCAAATAATATATCAATTATACAATGCCCCGTTACAACACCGGGTACAAAACAGTAATTTATTTGATTACTCTTCACTGAAAAAAAGTAATAGTAGTAGTAGTAATGCTGTTTATTTATCACACCATTATTCCCATCACTGCAAACGAGTAGTAGTGATTAAAAATATTAACAGAATATTTAACCATTTTAGGTTCATTAGCACATAATAATAAACAGTATTAACTTACAACAATTTAACTATATCTCTCTTAATTTTTCCAGATATAACAAAACAGGTGCCAGAGTATAACAAAAATAGGAAGCTTACTCATGTGATGCAAGCAAAAATGTCAAATTTGACATGTAATGGTAAAATAAATGGTACGAGGTCAAATGATGAAGTGTCAGTTAGGGGATGGATAAAAAAATCAAGGTTAAATACTGGTTAAAGACGCTGAGATTAAATTACAGTGGGTAAGGAAGTATTCAGACCCTTTATATTGCAGCCATTTGCTAAAATCATTTAAGTTATTTTTCCCTCATTAATCTGCAAAAATGTCAACAATTCTGTGTTTTTCTGTCAACATGGGGAGCTGTATATTAATGAGGAAAAAATAAACAAATGATTTTAGCAAATGGCTACAATAAAGAATGAACAATTTAAGGCTTACTTAAATACTTTCTACACGCACTGTATAATTGGGCATTGAATAAGTGTCTATGCAAAATAAAATACTGATATAATCTTATGTGAAGTCTCTCAATACGTGTGTTTAAGCGATTTTGCATCCTTCTGTTCTCGTGTAACATCATCATCAACAACTGAAGTTCAATTCTAATGTGTTCTTGATATCGAGGATGAATAGATTGAAAACTTGAGCATAGCTCTTGCTCGAAGTCCCAGAAGTTATTGCAGCTAAATAAGGAAGAAAGGAAGCATTTTATATTCACTGTTATTTACAGTTCAAAGATATAACTAGTTTATCTCACGAGTTTACCTGAACAAGACGGTGAAAGTCAACATTCACATGAATATTTCATTAAAGGCAAAAACACATGGAAAGGTGTTTACTTGCTGAAATAAATATTAAATTATTGTGCAGAAAATATTAATAAGACTTTTGTATATGTTACATATATTAAAAAAGAAAAAAAATAATCAAATTAATTCCTCAAGGTAATATCTTACATTTGTTCGCTTAGAAAATGGATTTATTTGTTATTATACCTGGATTTTATTTACACAGGGTGTCCTCTGTAATTTCCGTTCAGTTATGTAATTGATTGACAAAAAATTGCAGTTAAAGTTCTATTTAAAGTCTGCATGAACTGGAAGTTGCTATAACTTTCATTTCAGCTTGTTGACGTACTTCCAACTGAAACAAATTATTGAGTTGAAGGCAGGGCTAGGGGTGTGCGATTTGGGGAAAATATGTAATTGGATTTTTTTTAAATATATTGCAATTATGATTTGATTTGCGATTTAAATTTGTAGTCAAGCTGCAGCTCAATAATCTGTAAAGTCGGTCGCTTCTTATTGCTAAAATGGAGGGAGTGTTATTTAAAAAAAGGAACTAAAAATACACTAACTTACTTAAACATTTATTAAAGTTTGTTTTTAAACATTCAGAAATGAAACACTATTTTTTCTCTAGAGCAAACAGTAAACACAAATAAAAATGACCTGTTTTTGTTCGGTGTCTGTGACTTTGAAACCAAAATATTCCCATATTAACGATGTCCTATTTTTTTTAATATTAATTAGTCTGTTAATGCTTCAGTAGAAGCAAATGTCATCATCTCGCACTCGTCACACCGTCCACGATTTCCTGTTTGTTCGTTTTATTGTGGGCATTCTGCATATTTGGGTTGCGCAATTCTAATTGGGCAGAACGAAAGTGTGTTTACTCAATTGGCTAGTAAGACTGTCACAAACAGATGGCAGTCATGCATTTGGTCTGGGCGGAGGATATTAAATAATACATATATATATCTTTTATATCTCAGCCTCTTGTGATTAGCTAATCTCAACATTTCAAATTGCCATTCGATTTCGATTAATCATTATTTTTGTGCATCATTTGCTCATAGCAAACAAACGGTAAGAGGGATGTGGTTAAGAATATTGTGGCTGAAGCCGTCAAACTGACATCATCAATGAAGAACCACCACTCTAAAAATGGAAGCAAATGTTCAGAATTTGATTAAAGAATACCAAAACAAACATTGTTTTTCAGTAAATTAACTTGCACGGATTAATTGCTCACCTAAACAATAACAATGCGTGCTAGCAAACCAAACATTGCAAATTTTGACAACTCTCTCTCTCTCTCTCAGTGTGTTTGTTTTCTGAAGCTCACAACCTCGTGAGTGCTGTCATGTGTTATTGAGTGAATCCGTCCTGACGTCAACAAGTCAACAAGCAATGCACAATCTGCTGATGTTCACATACACCACTCGTCATTATTAATTGACTGTTCTTCTTCTTCTGCACTACTAGCACTTCTGTCTGTGCAGGCTACATGTTCGCTAATGCAGAGAGCAGGATGTTTAAACACTTAAATGCTGGAATTGACTTCTCATTATATACATTTGTAATGCATATATGAATATTTTATGCATCTGACACCATGGGGAAGGAAGTAGGAAGACGTTTGAGAGAGGAAGTGCGTTAAATGGCATATCTGTAAATCTGTTGATCATAGATTACTTTTTGATGTGCTCATTCTTGTAAATAAGTCCTTTTTTACCGGAAAATAAACATGAAACTATATTAAGAAGGGAAACTCAAAGTGAATTGATAAAAATCCTAATAATTATCAATGTGCTTCTCTAGTTGATTTATCCCTCGTGACAAGATACGATAGTAATTTATATGAAATGTTTTTGAACCATAGATTACTATAGTAAAGTGTATTATACTGTATGTATTATAGTATTCACAGCTCTTTGTTAAAGAATGCAACAGCATTCTGTAGTATTAACTATATTGAACTGGAAAACTGTAATAAATACTGTATACTTTTTACCGTGTTGTAGTATAAGTATAAGTGTAAGTATAATACTATAATTTTGGGTTATTTGTTTATAATATTATAGTTGTTGTGTTACCATCGCAACTGTAGAATTACCACAACAGATTAATTCAAGTACTTTACTTTCTTATAGTATGTTTCAAAAACACTGTAGTATTTACTATAAATGACTATAGTATTTTTTCATTTGGGATTACATTAGGATTTTGTATAAAATCAGGTTTCTATAGACAACTTGTTTGACATTATATTAGTATATTTAGATTAGATTTAGATTATTTAGAGGTTTATATGTTATAAAATAAAATAGAATTTATAATTGATACCAAATAAAAAAAGTAAAGGGTAACCTTTTTCTATGTTCTTTAACATTTGGAAATGGAATGTGCATTCATGAGTAGGTTTTAGGGAATTTCTGTAAACCACACACACACAGACAGATAATTGCTCCGCTATCTACTGTATATGGGGACTTATGTAAGGATTTTTATACTGCACAAACTCTATATCCACTACCCCAAAGCCCAACCCTACTAGGAAAAAATCTACACTTTTATATTTTCAAGATTCTGTGTGATATGAGCTGATTTTCTCATGGAAACAAAAAACATTTGGTACCCAAGTTAGTAACACATAATGCATATATGTACACACACTCATGCAAATAGGTACAAATATATGTTTTTAAAGTACCAATAAGTACCTTTTGGTCTTGTACCTTAGCTCTTTATACCTTTATTTCTGAAAGTATATCAACAGCAGCATAATTCATTAGTTTCAGTGAGAGATTGTAGAATAGCATTAAAGTCCCCATGAACCGGAAGCTGCAAACGTTTTTTTTTTTTTTTCGTATTGTGAAGCAGTTCCTAGAGAAATGGAATATTAAATGAGAAAAAAGTAGGTGTGGCTTGTTTTTTCTACTGCGGGCAGATTGGATTTAGTAAAATAGGCATTTCATTCAGAAAGATCATGAAAGAGGTTATTACAAGAGTTATTACAACCTGTCAGACTCATCCTCCTGACCATTTCTGTTTGTTGTCAAAACTGACAGTTGGAGCAGCGTGGTTAAATCTTAGCCATGCACAATTCCTAAAAAAAAAAAGCACCAAAGTTCACTACAAAACTAGCAATGAGCTAACAAATTCATATGGTTAGTTTTGATTTCTTGGGGACTTTAAGTTCATAATGTGTGAAATTCATTGCATTTGTTTTGCTTAATATTTTCAGCCATTAAAGAGAAGTACAGCGACTGGACTGAGTTTCTTATCAAAGAGCTCACAGGGTCACGGACAGCACCGGCAAATCTGCTGGAAGGGGTGAGAATTAGATTTTATGTATGTCTACCAACTTGCTGAGGGTTTGGTTTAACCCTAAAAGAAAATGTTGCTATCGTTTACTCACAGTCAAGTTTTTCCCTTAAAACTTTCATTCATCTTCAAAACACAAATTAAGAGTATATGTATGTATATATACATACAGGGGTGGACTGGCCATAAGGAGCAACAGGACACCCGGTGGTCTGACAGTCAATCTGGCCTCCCACTGTGACTCTGCCGTGCTCACTATATATATTCTGAGTTATGTCCCTGAACTGAAAATATATTCACCTAAACTTCTGATGCGTACAATAAACAGTTCTTAAATGAGAAACTCACAGTATCGTATCAAAGTTAGAAATTTCAATATCATGACAACACTAGAATAAAAGCAGCTTTTTGTTTTTCAGGGTCAGTGTTTGTAATTTATATATTTTTAAATATATTTTTATATAAAAATAAATTTAATATTTACATACATTTGAGCTTAAAAAGAGGAAACAAAAATATACAAAGTATATACACTTAATTGACCAATGATAGTTTTGAACGCTTTTGCCAAAAACATACATATACATATATATCTAAAATTTGTTAGAGATTTATTTTCTCAACTGAAAATGTAAAATAATTTAGATGCTCTTAACAGTTCTTAAAGAACCTCACAATATTGATAAAGGTACCAAATTTCTATACTTTTCTTGGTATCTTATCGAAGTTATAAATTCCAATATCATGCCAATACTATAATAAAAACGTTTTTTTTTTTTTTGTGTTTTACTGGGTTGGTTATTTTTTATTTATTTTTATACATATGTTATATATTTATACATTTAATATTTATGTTTTTGCATTTTTGAGCTTGCTTAAGGCATTTATTTAAAAAAAAAAAAAAAGCAAAAAGAAAAAAAGTTCACCATGTCTAGTGGTTTTTGAACTTGTGAAACAAAAACAAAAGTAATCTTTGCATGATTTTGTTTAGAATATGCCAAACCAGTTCTTTGAACTTGCCTTAATTGTTTAAAACTAAAAACCCTTTAGAAGAGTTCCCAAATCTCACTTGGTAAATCTTAGCTAAAATCTATACTTAAGTTATGGTTAATACCTAAATGAACAATTGGATTTTTGGTCTGTCTCTTCCTCTCTTTTCAGCCATTACGGGGTAAAAACACAGTGGATCTGATAATGGAAGGCAGTATTTTGGAGTTACGGGATGCCTCTGAGCCCAGCGTGTACTGGGCCACTCAAGTTCAGCGTAATGTCGGTGGACGTTTATGTCTCAGTTATGTTGGATTAAATGACCCCTCCTACTACATGTGGATGTTCTACCTTGACACCAGGCTCCGCCCCCTGGGCTGGGCCAAAGAAAATAACCTACCAATGAAACCGCCTACAGGTAATTGCAATTAAAACGAACATTAAAACATAATCAATGGGTACATCAGTAATGCAATATATTTACCTTATTCTGAAATATTGGCAATTTTATGATTTAGGTGTTTACATGAGTTGCTTTTTGAATATTAATTTCTTAATTCCTTTTTATGTAATTGTGCATAAATTAATTAGTTCATTACATCTGTACACAGTGATATACATTGCTTTCTTCTGAACTTCATGTACTGTATCATAAACAAATATATAGTTTGTCTTCTTTATAGTAACAGAATAAGGAAATTCATAAAAGTTTGGAGCCACTTGAGGTTGAGAAAATAATGATTACATCTAAACTGTTGGGTGAACTATCCTTTTAATTTGATTTGTGTTTACTTCAATGACTTTAGCCAGATTAAAAGTAATCAAACATCTCTGTTTACATGTTAGATTCTTAATCAGAGTATTGTCTTAATCACGCTTACATTGGAATATCGTTGTCCTTGTAAATGTAATGGGTTTTAATTGAATTGAACAATTAAGTTAAATAATCATATGTAAATAAATTCAGTATAATAATTTTAATAAAATAAGCCCTGAATGAGATTTTCTGTTAGCTTTTAGTTAAAGCAGCACAGCTCGTATTCATGCTTTTGCATTTTTCTTGAGGCTTCCACTCTTGTATGCAAATGTTTTTCCATTGCACAATTGCCAGGTTTCTATGTGCAGCCTGTTTGACTTCCAGTATTATGGATTTGTATTGACATTTCCCTAAAGGAAAGGCTGTAAATACATTCAAAAACAAGTTTAAACTTGCTCGCTCATTATTTGCTTTTTCAACAGATTTGCTTAATGTACAGTAGTCAACGTGGATAAATTGATTTGATTTTAGTATTGAATTCAATGCTAAATGAATTGACTGATGGGCAGAATAAACACCTTGATGATATAATAATAGATTAAACTGGATTGATTGTTGGGTTAAATCTATTGATAGATGAATTGATGGTAAAGTTCTGGAATTGCCAAGGATAGTTGATTAGATTGTAGGGACAAATGGATGAAAACATATTTCAGTGGATAGATAAATGGATGGGTTGGTTTAACTGATGGATGGTTAGGTGAATTGATGAATGGAAAAATACTTAGGTGGATATCGATCCATTAAGGAATGGTTGGATAACTGGTTGGTTAGATGGATGGATATATGGATGAATGGAAAAATACTTTGAATAATAGATGGATATTTGGTTAAGTTGAAAGGTGGATGATTGGTACAGATGATTTGAATACAGGATGGAGTGGAACATGATAGTGTTTGTTCAGCCACTTTTAATAAAGTCTACATTTATGGACGGATGGACAGAAGAAAAACTGATGGATACATACAGTAAATGGATGGATACTGGATGATAATTCAATTAAAAGATGGATGGATAAATGAATAAAAAAATAATTAAATGGCTAGATAAACAGGTGTGTAGTTAATGAAATGGACAGATGAATTAAATAATAAAATGCTTTAAATAGTATGAGAATAGTAGGATGAACCTTGGTTAAATGAATAAAAGATTGATAAAAACTTGGTTGGATGGATGGATGGATGGATTGATGGATGGATGGATGGATGGATGGATGAATAATTGATAAAAACATGGTTGGATAATTGGCTACTGATTAAAGCTTGAATGGATGGATGGATGGATGGATGGATGGATGAAAATTTGGTTGGGTGGATGGATGAATGATTGATAAAACATGGTTGGATTGATGGATTTATGATAAAAGCTAGGATGGATGGATGGACGATTGATAGAAATTTAGTTGGATGGGTGAACGTTTGATAAAACTTGGATGGATTGATGGATGGATGATTGATTGATTAATAAATATTTGGTTGGGTGGATGGATGAATGATTGATAAAAACTTTGTTGGATGATGGGCTACTGATAAAAGCTTGGATGGATGGATGGATGGATGGATGGATGGATGGATGGATGGATGATGGATGGACGATTGATAAAAACTTGGTTGGATGGGTAAATCTTTGATAAAACTTGGATAGATTGATGGAAGGAAGACTGCTAAAAACTTCAATGGATGGACTGGTGGATGGACAATTGATAAAAGTTTGGTTGGTTGGATGGATGGATGGATGGATAGATGGACAATTGATAAAAACCTGGTTGGATGAATGGACGTTTGATAAAATTTGTTTGATTGTATGGATGAATGGCTGGTTTGGTTAGATAGATGGATGAACGGACGTTTGATAAAAACTTAGTTGGATGGATGGATGGATGGATGGATATTTGATAAAAACTTGGTTGGATGGATGGATTGCTTTTGTATTTGGATAGATGGATAGATGGATGGATGGATGGATAGATGGACGTTTGATAAAAACTTGGAAGGATGAATAGACGAATGGTTGATTTGGTTGGATGGATGGATGTTTGATAAAAATTGGTTGGATAGATGGATGTTTGACAAAAAACTTGCTTGGATAGATGGATGATTGATAACTTGGTTAGATGGATAGTCTTTTTTACTCTCTATTGTCAGCACTTTGGTCAACTGTGCTGTTTTAAAGTGCATTATAAATAAACTGAATTGAATTGAATGGACGATTGCTAAAAACTTGGTTGGATGGATGATGGATGGATGGATGGATGGATGGATGGATCAAAGATTAGTAAAAAGCTTGGTTGTATGGATGAACAATTGATTAAAACTTGGTTGGACAGATGGATGGATGGACTGTTGATAAAAACTTGGATGGATGAATGGGTGGACAAATGATTAACTTGGTTGGATGGATGAATTGATAATTTAGTGGTCAGATGGATGGATGAACGAACGGATGGATGGTTTGGTTGGACAATTGATGAACTTGGTTGGACAGATGAATAGATGGACGATTGATAAAAACTTGGTTGGACGGACAGACGGGCAAATGGATGGATGGATGGAGTTGGATTAATGGATGAATGGATGCAAAAGGACAGATGGTTAATTTGATGTAGGGATGACTGAATGGATTAACTTAATGGAGGGTTAATATATTGATGAAAACTGATTTAATGGTTTAATTACATAAATTTAATGTATAGATGAAATCATGAATGAGAAGATGGTTTCATGAATAAATATGCAAATTAATTAAGTAACAAATTGATAAGGTCAATTGGTTGGCTTGATAAATGGACGACTGGATCAATAAATATGTGAAAGGGTTGATAAAACCTTGGGGGAGGAAATGATGGTGAATGGCTGGAGGATTACAGATGGACAGATGGATGTATGAGTTCTTTTCTCACTGCCTTTCAGATCTGTGTGATTTGAGGAGCAGCTCTGAATGGACTACAGCTTTAGATGAAGCTACAGCTGAAGCCTTGAACAACCCACTTCCACTGGAGGTCTTCAAGGTCTGTGTTTGTTTGTGTTGTGTATAAGTTCTATGTGTATATGTGGTTCTGATATTCATCCCTACAAGTATAGTTCATGCATCTAGTTTGACTTTACTTTCAGGCTATATGTAGATACTAACACCTATTTTACACTTACAATGTCTTGCGGTGCTCTAGAACAGGCGATTTCTGACAGTTGAATACATTTTTATTCTTGCATATAGACTTTATTTGTGCGATTATGCATTCACAAAGGTATGAACCATTATAGAGGTGGAATTTGCTGACGTTAATGTCTTCTTTAGCCAATCAGAACACTCAAGCGCATTCACGTCCACGCAGTTTATGAGAATAAAAGCCTGTGAATTTATTTCCACACACATTTAGCTGCTAGATGATAGTCATATAACATTTCTATGCTCCTTCTTAATGGCAACTGTGGAATAAAATAGATTAAATGCTTATGATAAGCCGTGGTTTGTTTACCTTCAAGCTCTGATGCATGTGCATGTAAAGCAGCCAGTGAGTGCCAGCACACACATACTGTATATTATGTACTGTACATCTCAACATGCTGATTCATCCACAGAGTTTGTAGTGTAGTCAAATGTTTACAAATACAATCGCAGCCGTTTAGAGCGAATTTCTGCTAAATTATGTCAGAATTTACCTGTATTTTGGAAAGAATGTGTGAACGCTCTTTTCCAGAAAAATTCCGTAACGTCCTCAGCTGTGTGAACAGCGCTTTTTTTATTCACCTGTAAAGTTGTTCTGGTATCAATGTGTGAAAGGGGTTTTTGTTACCGTCAACTTTGTTTAATACATTCAAAAGTAAGTTAAACAACAATTACTAAACAATCCCTATCACGTTTAATAATTTTGCATTATTTTGCATGAATAATTAATTCAGTATACTTTAGTTTATACATAACCTAATACATTCACTTAAAAAAAAACAATAATATGATGAAAATGCTTAAAACTATGTTATAGACATGCCATGGGGTATCTGTTTTGAGGTTAGCATCTTGAGCTAAAGCACAAAATTATGGAAAATGTCAACTTTGTTACTGTCAACTCTGTTTAAAATGTACAAAAATTAAACAACAATTAGTAAACATTCCCTATCATGTTTAATAATTTTGCATTATTTTATATGAATAATCGATGAAAAAGATAATATGGTTAAAATGCTTATAAATTCAGCTTTAGACATGCCATTGGGTATCGGTTTTAAGATTAGCATCTTCAGCTAACCACAAAATGATGGAAAAATTCAACCCTGTTACTGCCAAAAATTTAACAGCAAGTTAAACAACTATTAGCAGCAGAACCAAACATATTGCATTAATCATTTTGCATTTATTTTACATTAATAATTAATTCAGAATACTTTCAATTATACATTAGCTGTTTGTCATACCATCTTTAGAAAAATTAATGGAAACTTAAAAATGCAAATCCAGCAAGGGTCTGTGTGTTTCTGTGTGTATGTGTTTTGTGAAAGCTGTTGGACTGAAACATCGCTTTACACATATTGATAACACAAACAACTGATATATGTCTCTGTGTTTCTGTTTCAGGATCATGCTGACTTGCACACACACTCCTTCAGGGCAGGAATGAAGCTTGAAATGGTCTCTCCAGTGGAACCCTTCCACATCTGCCCCGTGTCTGTGACTAAAGTACGCACACACAGACACACCAGATGAAGGGTTATGAAGTGTAGGCTATAATTAGCACCCACCGAGCCTGACTTTGAGTGTCTCTGTTCTACAGGTCTATAATGAATACCACTTTCAGATCACTGTCGATGACCTCACAGCTGATGCCACGCCCACCAGTGCAGTGTGTCACGCAGAGTCTCCGGGAATCCTGCCAGTGCAGTGGTGTCTGAAGAATGGAGTCGAACTGGAGAGGCCGCGAGGTGGGCGAGATGCTCTCGTTACTGTAGATGCTAATGAGATTTATGCTCTTTTGTTTAATTTACATTTGCTTAATGAGAATGTTTAGCAATGGGTTTTGCTGTTATCGCGGTTTCATTTTCTTTTTATGTGGATTATTTATCAAGAGCTTATTTGTAGTGAGTATAATATGAGAGAGTAAAATTAAAAATGAATTAATATGAATATGATTGTAATCAGGGATGGGCAAAAAAATACATTGAAATTTTACATGTATTTAAATAAACTACAAAATACAGCAGCCACAACAAGTGTCAAAATAAAATACTGTATTTTGTAAATACTATACAATACTTTCACAAGGGAGCATGACTTATTGAATCAGTCCCTTCACCACTAAAATGACTTAGTGAAGTGTTTGACAGCAACAGCGTTTCTCTGAGCAAGTTTAAGTCAGCTTCTCTTCCACCTCATTCCCCTCTGTATATGAGTAGGTATTCATAAGCCTTTGTTTCCCTTTCATTTTACTATAAATGTTGTACATATTTAATACAGAAATTCCTGTCTTGAAGATGTTCTCTTTAAATTACTGTAAAAACCATCTAATGTAGATAATGAGTTGGACTATATTACTATATCTCTTCATTCTGTTTTCATCCATTGTGTGACCAGTGAAAGTGACACCATCTCTTAACAGTCTTATATTTGAATAGGTGAAATATAAAGAGGTTATTTTAATTTCTTCAATGATGAAAACAGATGATTTCTAGAAGCTACTAAAATCTTGCCACTTTTACATCTTTTGTCGACATCTTAGCACTTCATTACTATACAGAGCACTTGCAGCTACTGGCATTTAAAACAGCCAATGAAGTATTGTAGGAATCGCCACTGTAGGATTTATTTGTATGCTGTTTGTCTTGTTTTCTTGGCATCTACATAAGTAATTTATTCAAAACTATTATTATTTGTGTTAAGTTTGCTCATTCTCCCAAGAGTTTTCCAGTTCTACTTTAACTGGAAGAGTCTTAGTTTACCCTCTGAATAAATGCCAATACAGCATCTTTAGGTGTTTTTTTTTTTTTTCAAAAAATCCAAAACATGCATTTTCGCCTGCAGCACTGAGACTGATGATGATTATGTGCTGTAGGCTCCATATTCCTGTTCTTAAGAACTGAGATTTTATATTTTTTTAGATTTTATATATATATATTTTTTTTATTTAGATCTCATTTCTTGAGCAACGATGCTAATGCATTGTACTTAACTATTACTGGTCTTGGCATTGTGCAGTATACTATTTTTAATGATTGTGGACTTGCTCCCAAATCTACCCATGCCATTTGTCAGTTATTTTCTTTATGTGGGTTCCATAATTTCCATTTATACTTTAAGTATTGATCACCTTCTTCAATATTAATAAATTGTCTGTTCTGTAACTGAGAAAGCATCAATCTGAGGCTGCATCTTTAGGATGTCATCATGTAGACTTCTTACAAAGTGTTTTACATTATTTAAAAAATACAAAAATACAAGACACTAAAGTACTTTGATACAAAATATTAACCCATTTTCATAAACCCTATCAAATACAAATTACAAAAAACTATTTTGTATTTAAAATGCGTATCATAAATCCTGCCCATCCCTGATTGTAATGATCAATAAAGTGCAGTTAAGTAAAAATAAATACAAAATCAAATTTAATACTTGAATAATAATATACAAATAAAATAAAAGCATATTCTAATATATGTTATAATAATAATAATAATAATAGTAATAATAATAATAATAATAATAATAATCATCATCATCATTAACGTTTTTGATCCCCAGCCACTGTGGCTAGTAGTTTTCCAACGTTACTAGCCACTTGCCATTTTCACTAGCCTCAATCTTGTTGTTGGGAAAATATATTTTATTTGCATAAATTGGACTTTGGCAAGCTAAAAATTACAAATTTTTAAATTTTGTATTATGTCCACATGCCTTCTTCAAACTCTTTTTTTATATACATTTTGTTTCACATGACTTTTTAGGGCTTAACACTAAGGAGGATTTACCATTTTTTTCTCTGGCCACACTAAACTAATTATTTAAATAATGTGTCAAAACAAACTAAATATGGCTGTAAACATACACTTTTTATTTCTTATTTATTCTTATTTTTATGTTCTTAAAACAATAGACAGTTTAAAAAAAATTTTTCTCATTTATCTAAAACTATACACAGAAGTTTGTCAAAGCTAAATGTCGCAGATCATCAGGTAACTCTAGATAAATGGAGAGTAAAGCTCCTATTAAAGCAATGTCATTGTAAATGATGATAAATAAACCAAACTAACAAAAATAACTGCATGCAAAAGTAAATAGATAAAAAAAACATTCTGTTTACGATAGTAAAAGGATGATCACGTGCACATGGTTAACGTTAGGCCCAGTAATAATCTGTTCAAAGAATGGTTAAAGCGGCAACATACAAAAAATCTGGAGCTCTTGAAAGCAGCAGAAATGTGGGTTCACGAGCACCACTTAATCCCAATCTATTTAAAAGATAAACGATCACACCAATTGGAAAACTGTAGTTTTTAAGCACTTGCATGCATCAACAATGTCAACTGTGCCTCGCGCCTGTGTCTCACTGTGCTCCGGATCATCCCCTTTATTCGATATTCACCTGCTTTTTTTTCTCACGCGATCAATACCAATTGTGCTGCTTCTTGACTCTAAGTGCATATTTGTACACATATTTCCAAATTAAACAAAAATTTTAATGTTTGGAGACAAGGCAGCTCTGGAAATTTTCCAATTATTTTCAACCAGTCAAAGTGGCTAGCGGGGGTATCTGTCTTACCTCCAACAGCTGAAAACTACCCGCATTTGATGGGTTGGTGGGTGTTAATGTCTAGCCCTGATAATTATAATAATAAAATTATAAATAATTCTAAAAATATATATTATTTTGATGAATGAGAAAGAATACATTTGCTATTGTTATATTTATATTATTTTACATTTATTTATATATATATATATATATATATATATATATATATATATATATATATATATATATATATATATATATATATATATATATATCACTATAATTATATATAAATAACAACAACTAAATAATACTACAATACAATTTTTACAGACTACCTATCATTACATTTATATTGTTAAATATTTATATTTAAAATATTATAATTATTATTACTACAATTACTATTCATAACATTATTATTATTATTATCATTATTATTATTCACATTATTATTACTAGTAGTAGTAGTATAAAGAGTAGTAGTAGTAGTAGTTAACAACAGCAACAACAACAACAACAACTAAAGTTTGTTGAAATGTTTACATAGTTTGTTTTAATCAATCTTTCTTTCCTTCTACTAGTTTATTTCTCTCTCTGATTAGTTTTTCTCCCTCTTTCTGATTTTGGGATAGGTTTTGAGACACAGGACTTTGACTGGGCCGACTATCTTAAACACACCAGCACTGAGGCCGCTCCAGATGCGTGTTTTCCAAACGTAAGGCCCCAGCTCTTTGCCACGAGTGTGGTTTGATCTTATCTCAAGCAGACCTTTGTGATTTTTCTTTTTCAGTAGATCATTCTGATGACTGTTGACCCACTAGTGGGTCTTCCTGGTGTGTTTTTGGTCACAGACACACACACAGACACACACACAGACACACACACACACACAGACACACACAGACACACACACACACACACTCACACACACACACACACACACACACACACACACACACACACACACACACACACACACACACACACACACACACACACACACACACACACACACACACACACACGAGTTATCAAAAGACTGTTTTCTTTTTGTGAGACATACCCTTTCATTTATGAGTTTCTTTTCTTCATTACAAATACAGGAAACTCTTTTAACTAGTGGCCAACAGATATTATGACAGAAGCTACAGTCAGATGGAGAGATATTATGAAATTGCCTGAAAAGAGTCAAAATAATTTTGACTAGCATGCACTAGAGAATAATGTTTGTAGTCTTAAGGTCTTCAAAAATACAATCTGAGATCACTACAAATTGTCTGCAAAAAGCCTCTACTCGCTTTACTCTATCAAACTTTTAAAAATAAAATTTAATTAAAAATTGAATGTAAATATCAATAAAATAAACTTATTGTAATATACAGTTGAAGTCACAAGTATTAGCTTCCATTTATTTTTAAAATATTTCCCAATAATGTTTAAAAGAGTAAGGAATTTTCACAGCATTGCCTATAATATTTTTTCTTCTGAAGAAAGTCTTCTGGAGATATCTTTTTTGCGTTAAACATAAATGGGGGGGGGGGGGGGGGGTTGAATTAAGAGAGGAAAATGTTGACAATAAAAGTAATTTTAGGTGTTTAAAGTTAATAGAAACACTTGTAAAGTTTAAGCACCCATGCTTTGGGTGTTGGCAGCTTAATTAGCAGAAATGCAGTTTGTTTATTACTTAATGAGCAATAACTATCCTAAAATTAGTTTTGAGATCAGTCTCAATCAACTATATACAGTATATAACTCATGAAACATGCTTGAAATGTCTTGTGGTTCATTTAGGCTAACTTCAAATAAAACTAAGAGACATCAAAATGTATGACACATAATAGACATACATAATAATATCAGACCTTTGAGTTTAAGTAAAAAAAATGTATTTAAACTTGTATTCGATAGATTTATGTTAAACCAACTCAATTGCATTTAATTGTGTATATAGCTTTTTTAGTTGGTGCTAAACAAATCTATTGGGTGGAAATCCTGCCCTCAATTAAATTGAGTTTTGATTATAGTAGTTATAATAACAATCATCATCAGATTTGATTTGTCAATTTTTGTTCAAAAATCAAATTGTGAAAAAGACATTTTGATTCCCAGCATTCTGTGCTTATATTTTCCATCACATTGCCCACAACATTGTCTCTCTCTCATAATCCTCTTTGTTTGTGTTTGTTACGCACTGTTAGTGTGATCTTCTCCACTGACCTGTTGTTATGTGATCAGGCGTCTCAGAGCCGGGGTTTCTGTAAGGACATGTGGCTTGAAGCGGTGAATCCTCTACATCCTGCTGAACTCTGCGTCGCTCGCATTACTCAGGTCAAAGGCTGTCTCCTCTGGCTCAGACTGGAAGGTATGAATGAATATGCCGTTTATTTTCACATTTCTTCAGATTAGGTCAAAGAAATCTTTCAGACACATGGCCTTAGTGTGAATACCAAAAAATGTGGTCCAATAATTATGGAAAAGCAGAAAAATCAAGGTAATGTACAGCTAAAATAAAGTCACTGAAATGAAAGAAATCTTAGAAAGTAGAAAAAGAATTTCAATACTGAATATGAAATGCGTTCAGTAAATATTCACATGCTTTCAGCTAGTACATTCTTTATCCTATGATTACAAAAAATAGATCTGTCATAATTTTGTAAACTGTAAAAATGTGACAAAATACAGAGCATAAAACTGATACAAATTAAAAGGTCTGACTATTTTGGATTTTATTTTTACTTTGTAAATGTTAGTAGATTAGTAGTAAAATATATATATATATATATATATATATATATATATATATATATATATATATATATATATATATATATATATATATCAGTAGATCAATTGAAAAATGAACTGGATTTTTCACCTCTGACTCAATCTGAAAGGTGTGAATGAAAACTGCTTTTATTTTCATCTTTCTTTTATTCAAAGAAATCTTTCAGGCACATGGCCTTGCAGTGAGTTCGCAAAGATATGGCATGCTGGCATATTGTTGACAGGTTTAACCTCTGCTCTTCTATCTTTGTTTACAGGTCTGACAAAGCCGTTACCGGATTGTATAGTAGATGTGGAGAGTATGAATATTTTTCCTGTGGGCTGGTGTGAAGCAAACGGCTATCCACTAACACATTCACTAAAGACCGTCTGTGAGTATCATGTATAGATTGGATTTCGCATTTCTCTGTGAATATAGGCAATGTATTTTGGTGCATTTAAGCAGATTTATTCAACAAATATATTTATTAAAATGACATTTTCGTCAGCAAACATATTTAGAATTCGAAAGATAAAACAATTAAATTTAAGCAAAATATTGCAAAAATAAGTTACAACCTACAAGATTTTAGCTACATTTTTCAATTTTTTTGTTATATATATATAAGTTTTATTTAAATATACATAAATTATTTTAATTTGATTTAAAATACAAACAAAAAATTTACTTTTGTTTTATTTACCATTGATAGCACCGCTGGAAATATCAACAATTCTGTTATGTATTAAAGTTAAAGAAAAAAAATTTAGGGATGAAAATGACTTGTTATATTGAATAAAAAATGCATTCAATAAGTATTTTAAATGCTTTCAGTTATTTTGTTTTCCCATTAAATTATGCACATTTCCTACATTTCATATCATTTCACTAAGAGAAAATCTAATTATTATGCAAGCTAAATAAATTTTGCTAAAAAACACACAAGAAACACTAATTGCAAATGAACCCTAAATACAAACTAAATAAAGAGGTGACATTAAAAAGAAAGCAAAATGTGTAGAAAATAAAGAAATCATAACATTTACTTATGTACAGTACTATATTGTATAATGAATGAAGATTTGATTGCTTTTATACTAATGACAAATCATTATCAGTTCACAGTTTAACTCTAAAACCAAAAATGTTTTTATATTACACAGAGTTACTGTATGCTCTGCACATGCAGCTTATATATAACTTACGGCATACAGTAGTAGCCAAACTCTTGGAGATTCTATGAATAATTCATGCTACTTGATATTGCTAAATGGAACAGGACGTTTCACCGCACAACACTGCAGCAAGCAAACAAACTTTAATAAGTCCAGTATCCAACTTGTCATTAAGTGATACAGCAAAAACAGCACTTTACTGTATGCAGTGCATGTCAGAAGGACATTTCACACTAATAATCTTCTGTTTATTATAATCATGCGCTGATGTTGTGTCACCAGCCAGATTGGTCTGTCAGTGTTTTTGGCATTTATCAACTTCATGACTTTGTGATTTTAAAGTCAGGTTTTAAAGATAGAACTGACAGTCTTCGCCTTACTTTGATTACATTAGGAATTGCTTTTTTGTATTGCAATTTTTTTTTAAATGTTTGCTTGAATTTGCAGATGAGATATTATTTAATGGAATATGCAGTAATTTGAATAGATTTCTAGTGCAGTATTTTTTGTTGTTGTTAGTACAGTATTTTTTGTTTACAAGAAAGGTTCCATTTTTATGTATTTATTTGTTTGTATTTTATATATTTGTTTGTTTGTATTTTATGTATTTATTTGTTTGTATGAATTTTTATTTACAAGATTTTTACTAAGGGAATTTTTTATCACTTTTTTTAAATAAAATATTTTTTGTAAAATATTTTTCTGTAAAAACGTAAAGAAAAATGTGCAGTTAAGTGTATGTAAAGCTGCTGATGGTAAAAGTGTAATTTATGACTCAATAAAGAAGGGAAATTTTTTTTGAGAAAACTGCATTTAAAAATATGTATTATGATTGACATCTACAGAAACAACACTGCAAAAATAAATACCTAACTTAAATGTTTTGTCTTGGTTCTAGTCCAAAATATATAAAAAAAAAAAACCTGAATCAAGAAACGTTTTCTGACAAGTAAACGTTGTTGTCTTTGTTTTCAGAAATAAAAATACTAATTATTCTGCCAGTGAGATAAGCAAATAATCCAAAAAACTAATTTATTTTGCTTGTTTTAATGGAGAAACTCATTAATTTTGATTTGCTTTTATTCAAAACAAGGCAATTCTTTTGCAGAACTTGCTTCTTGATTTAATATTTTTTAGATATTTGAACTGGAAACAAAACTTCTAAACAAGAAAACCATTTTTTGCTATGAAATTAATACAGTGTGACAAAAAAAAATACATTTTGGATGTTTTCTTTTCATTAGACCAAAAAAAAAAAAAACTATAGGATAAGCCAAAAAGCTCCAACTCTCAAATTTGACGGGTGCATAAAATAGTAGTGTTTTTGCCTGCAGCATCTGAACTTAAGAATGAATTTTGAAACAGTATTGTTATCCTCACTTCAAAACAAACTAAATGATCACTTGAAGAAACAAGAGCAGTCCTTGAAACGTCCCAGTTTTGCCCCTGAGTTGTGTTTTTGTTTGGTTTGTTTCAGGTCTGCCTCAGAAGAAGATTGCTGTCGTTCAGCCTGAGAAACAGTGAGTAGATGTGCTCCTCGCATGGACTTTTTTTAAACATGTGATCATTTTTATTTGTGTGCTAGAAAGACTGGGACTTTTGTCCTAATTTAATCATGCTACACATGATTCATCAAAATGTCCTGTTTTTTTGTACATCTATGTTGTTCTGTTACAACCCAGGCTGACTGAAAATACATGCCACAGCATACTTGTTTTTACAAAAACATAAAATATGTTGCTGCAGGTATGTTTGAGGTGACATATCTATTAGAGGGTGCTGTGTTGACTTTTCTGAATCTAAAATACGTTACTTCGAACATGTTTTGTTGTACGTTTCAGATACACGCATCCTTCTTGTACATGTCCACGAGAAAGCAGAACTTGTACTGATCACACCAACAGACCACTAACCTAAACTCAACAAATAGTGTTTTTAAAAGCTAACATAAGTGAAACCACATAGTTATGTTTATTTTACATTGTTTGATCTCTTTTGTGAAATTGACTTGAACCACTCTGCAACGCAAGCAAATCATCGTACAAAGTGAGCTACTGAGCAAAATGACCACAGCAGAAAAGTTGTCTAGATGAAGATGGATAATTGAAGCAAACACATTTGATTACAAATAACCAACATTAAAGTTGCTCTGTGGTATTTTTTGAAGTTGTGCAAAGAATTAATTTTTTATTTGTCAATAATATGTCCCTGTAAATATCATTAGTGTAAAAAGGAACAAAAGTTGTTGGCGTCACACTGCCCCTTAGTGTTCACTTTACACAGAAACTGCAGTCAAACAAATGTTCATGTACTTTGAGGTTTCACAACATCAAAGAACATGAACAGCCTGAGGTACAATATCAAGACATTTGTGCTGCCCATTACATGACAAACCACAGGAGAGGGCAAATTCTTCAGCAGGATAGCACTCCTTCTCATACTTTAGCCATCAAAGTTCCTGATTGGCCTGCCCAGTTGCGATATAAGCATTATTGAGCATATCTGGGGTAAGATGGAGGAGGAGGCATTGAAGATGAATCCAAAAAATCTTGAAAATTCTGGGAGTCCTGCAAGAATGATTTTTGTTGCCACTTTAGATGACTATTAATAAGTTATTTGAATCATTGCAGAGATGTATGGACGCAGTCCCCCAAGCTTATGGAAGTCACACACAATATTCATCCTTTTTCCATTGCACCATGACCTTTGTCTAAGCAAAGTCAGAGCTTACTGTCCTAATTAAATAATTAAAAATCAAGGCATGATAATATAATATTTTTGTAAAATGAGCATATAGAGGCATTTGCCTTTCACATAAGCTACCAAATGATCTACTAGAAGTCAAGTTATGATTTGTTGTTCCTAAAACTTGGTTAGGTGACAAGACTTTTGTCAGGTAGTGTATTTCCAAGTAGCCTGTGTTTATTTGATAGCTTAGTTTAGGATATTATTTTCTTTGAAGCTGTGTGTCCACCAAAGCAGTCTTATCAAATGTTGCACTGCGGTACGGTTTCTGTCAACTGATTATGTAAATAACGTGTTTTTCTTCACTAAAATGTTAACTGTGTAGACCAGCAAAATTCTCTAAGCAGCTAGAAAAAAGTCAAATAAATGTTAAGGGACTTTATACACTGCTGCCACTTCGAAAAAGTTGGTTGTCCCATTAAAAACATGTGAAAAACAGCTTTGGTGAAATAGCGATGTTGACGTTTGGTGAAAAAAATAAATTGCTCTCATTAAAAACAACTGAAATATAGGCTAGCCTTGAGAAATAATTGTGCTTTGGTGGACACAAGGCCAAAAGAAAAATGGTAAAAAATTATTACTACCCTAAATGATTGATTGTTTGATTGATTAATTGATTGATTGATTTTCAGGTTGGCTCCTTCACAATCTCCTGACATTCCTATTAGTCTGTGCTCATCTGCTCCCATGGATTCAGGTTTTACATATTTACTACTGAGCATTTTTTTATTTAATTCCCAACACTCTCCCACCCAACTCCAAACTAATGGTTACTTGCTTAAGAATATTTGTCATCACTTTGATATAAATAATTTGTATACATTTTCATATATATTTTTGAGCACCTGTTCTTATTCTGAAACTAAACACAACCACTTCCTATATACAAAACACGTTGCAGCCACAATTACTTAGTATTTATTTTTTAAAAAACTAACCAGAAAAATAGTATAAAGTATTAATAGCATACCATGTTATATTTGAAGTGTTCTGAAGCCATACATAGTAATTATGTTTTTATAAGGTTTTTACAAACTCTTGTTGCTGATTGTTTGTAAGGAAACTAGAAAAACAAGACCGTCTTGATTTTCCAAGTTGCCTATTAACGTTTGTAGGCTGCTTTATGTAAATTTCTTGTAATGTTCATTCTGGTAAAATCCAAAGGAAGTAACCTTGACGCACTCTATGGCACATTAAAATAATGCTTTCTATAAGTGTTTAAGGTAATACAGCAAAAGTCATTTTTATTGAATTGTCAATGTGCAAAGAAATTAATCCAAACAAAGAATTAATTCAACTACAATCTCACACAGCCAGATCTATATAGTGTATAGTTTCAAGTATGACATTTATATTTAGTCATATAGCAGACACTTCAATTTTGACACTTGAAAGACACTTAAACTTGATTAGGCATTTAATGACTCAACAAGAAGAGGCAATACACAATGCTAAATATACAAAGAAACTATTAATGTTCAGAGAATTCAGTGCTAGAGTTAGGGGAAGAGTGTTTAGTTTAAAAAAACAAAACAACTTATGGTAAAGGTGTAATTTAAATGACCTAATCTGTTGACGTGCATTGATGTAACCATATGAGGTGGTTTATATGAGTAATGTGTTATGTGTTAGTGTTTGTTCTTCGCTCAAATCAATCATTTAGCTTCTGTAGACTTTTTTTGAAAATCTTTAAGACTTTTTGCCAACAATTAAAACCATATTTTACCTATATCCTTGTATATGGTAGTAAAATTTGCTCCAATGACAGTTGGGTTTAGGGTTGATTTTTAATTATTTATGAAATATTTACGTTTTATCAAGAGATAATGGGTGCATTTCCCAAAACTATCCTTAGCCAACTAATATCACAAGTTTCATTGTTACAAACATAATTTGGTGATTCTGTGTTTGCCAAATCCATTGTTCCATTGAACATTTGCTAACAGCGTCACAATTTTGTTTGTTTGTAACTACACCTATAGAGCTGTGGTTACAAGTATAGTTCCTGGCTAGTGTTGTCAAAAGTATCGAATTTGCTCAAAATTGCTGAAATTTTAAAAACGTTCATTTCCCACAAACATTTGAGAGCTGTTGAGTTATTAACAACAATATATTCACATGCTCAACAGAAATGACTGTGATTGGCCATGACGGTCATCAGTTCACCGTTCTCCACGCCTGTTCACCAAGTTCAAACACAGATACACATACACTGGATCTTTTCAAAGTCGCATTGATCTTAGCACTTTCAAGTCTCGTAGAAAGCTGGCCTGTCTGTAAGCTGACATACGAGCGATCTGCTGATGGATCGACTGATCTATATGTCTTTGAAATGCTTTATGTCCCTGTATCTCAAAATGCTCAAATGTTAGAGGGAAATGGATGTTTTTAAAGCTTCAGTACCTAAGTTGATACTTTCCCTGGTTTGGTCCATTACAAGCTGTTCCTCTCTGCCCTATTTCTTTCAACCATTTTACTATCCATTTTTAAATTCTAAAGTTATTTTTTATTATAGTTTAGTTTTACCATCTTTCAATTAACAATTGTCACTTCTTAGTGCACATTTTAATTATTTACATTACATGCGAAAATCTGTTCCATTTTGGAAGAATGGGAAAACAAAACGTATACAGTATGTTATGGTATTTGCATATACAAATGGTTAAAATAAAATTTAAAAGCCGGCCTGATTTTACTGACAACGTGCAGTATTTAGAACATTTCTGCAGTGTTTAAAATGTAATGTCAAAATAATGTGTAGAAGGCTACATGTTATTGTAAGTGGTTTCATCTTTGTTTTGCAATAGTAAAATAAAATAGGGAATGTTACACGTTATTTGTAAAAGAAAGGAAATATCTTGTTTACCCAAAAGGTTTTAATTACGAATGCAGGGACCAAGAGAAGCAAAACTTATATTGGATAAATGAATAAATAATTGAACAAATAGATACAAATCCACAATAATACAGAAGTAGTTGTTATTCCACATCCTTAAGGACCATCATTACAGAATTGTTATGGTTCATCAGAGTTTGGGAAACTCCTGTCACTACATGGTTTATTTCCTAATAAAATAAATCTTACTAGTGTCATTGTTATTTGGGAAATGCACACCCCAGACTAAAATAACCCTTCACAATAAAAATTATGCACAAAGAGTACCTATTTTTTGCTAACATGTTTGTGTTGTTTAGGTTTGGTGAATGGAAAGTACTGCTGTTCTCAGCTCTTCATCAATCATCGCTGTTTCTCTGGACCATATCTCAATAAGGGCCGAATTGCCGAGTTACCAAAGGCTGTTGGGCCTGGAAAGTGTGCTGTAGTCCTCAAAGAGGTACTGTACAGTTTTCTCTTACTATACATTGGTAGTTGAGGCATTGCAAATTCTAATTTCATGAAAATTTGAGGATTTTGTAAGTTGTAAGGGAAAGTGAACATTATATGCTGGATATCTGTCAAAGACGAGATATCATATTTTGCAGTTTGTATCAAATTAAATGCATAAAATATATTTTAAATGAAGTATAATAAATGCAAGCAGAGTGTTCACATGTTGTAAATCACTTTTGCGAAAACATGTACAAATTTTGCACAAAACAATGTTTTACTATCAGATAGCTTTTTGTAAAAGTGAAACGACGACCTCAAACAACAAACAAACAAACAAATTAAGCTGTATTTTTAATTTTTTTTTTTTTTTTTTAAATGATGAAACACCTTGCTGACAAATTGGAAAAACCTTGTGGTTTGAAAGATAGTGGCAAAATGTAACATTTAAAACGTTTATTCATTATTTTTTAAGACTGCATTGGTTCTTAAAAATTGTTTAGTCTTCTAATTTTGCCTATAAAATTCTGTTAAATTGCCGATAAAACTGATACATCAGTATGCGATGTATGATAAATGACTTAATCACACTAAAATAGGTAATAAAAGTGATATATACACACACATGCATATTAATTTGTTTATCTGCATTTATGATATATGTATCATAAACTAATTATCTGAATATGATGTTTCTTACAGATTCTGACAATGTTAATAAACTCAGCATATAAACCCGGCCGTGTACTTAGAGAACTACAGATGGTGGAAGACCCTCAGTGGAATTGTCAAGAGGAAACCCTCAAAGCCAAGTACGAAAATACACACACATGAACTCACACACACTTACTTTGAGGCTGTTAAATAAGCAGAATCTCATGGTATAATCAAAAAGAGAAAAAAAAAAAAACATTTTCCAGAACTTTCTCATTCACTGTTCATTGCTGATGGAATAATGTCCCAACCCTCGTATGAAACACAGATACAGTAGTCAACATCTAAAGTGAATTAAAACCTTTCATCAAAGCTGTCCTCAAATTGTTAAATTACACACATTATTGTTCTTTTGAACAATTGTGAACTAGTTTTTGATCCATTTCAAATGTTAACTACATGTTATAAACATAATTGGCTATAACTCTGTACTTTTAGCATTTGTTTATTTGTCTCATGATTATTTACTTGTTATATTCCTTATTTTCAGTTTTTTTAATAAATATAAAAATACATGTAATGTGCATAAAATAATGAGAACATATACCCTCAATTTTTTTTAAAGTTAAGCTAATTATAATTGTCACAAAATAATTGTATCTGCAAAAGAAAAGGGTTTTGTACCCTAAAAATAATAGTGTAGGATTTACGACGAAAGAGTTCACAAATATTTACAAAAAACCAAGTAACATTTCATTATTTTTTGTGAAATCTTGAAAGTATAGTGAATGAAGTTGTGTTTTTGTGAAGCATCTTCAATTGACATATTCAGAGATTGTTTTTTTTTTTTTTTTTGCATTTCTATAATTCGTACATTTGTATTAGTGAAATTCAGAATTATTTGACAATATTTGTGTCAAAAAATTATGAAAGCTTTGTCAGATTTCGCTAGGTTTAGGTAACAAAACTATTTCATAGATATAATCTGTGCTTTTACATGAAATATTCTTTCTAATACAATTTCTGTTTTAGAAATTGTTGCATGTTAGTAATAAATAATATACTCAGTAACTATTTTAAACTGAATCTTTTTGCTGATTCATTTGACGTTACTCAATTGTAATTGCTTCCAAAACCATTATGAAGTAATGAGAAATTAATAATGACAATTATTGCTATGTATTTCAGATAATTTAAATAATTATGAACTACTGTTAATCAATATTGTAACATTACTTCTAATGCAGTATCTGTATGTAGCTATAAGTATCTGGATGTAGCTTTGATGATGCAAGCTGAGACTACATATCTCAGCAATGCAATGTCAGACACAATGCACTTAGTGAAGCTAGTGAGGTGGGGGTGGGGTTAGGTGAGCGCATTAAAAAGCATTGGATGCAGCTCAGATTGCATTGCATCCAGACCCTCTCAATGTTTTTTAACCAAAAAGTAATCTAAAAGTAATCTGACTCTACAACAAATTGACTGCAGTCTGTACTGCAATTCTAAAAGCAATATTATTACTAATAAATTAGCAAACATGCAGAATTAAATTATTAATCATAATGAATAGAGAGCTTTCCCTCATTTGCATAATGAGGTTAAGACAGTGGATTAGCATACTTGTATATGTGATACGAATATGGGTTGGGGATGTGAATTTCACTGTCACACATGACAAAAATGTATACAATTATTGTCATCATTTAAAATACAGTAAATGGTTTCTTTGTCTTCCATGGACCTCTTGTTATAAAAACGTCTGGGTTATTAAATAGTTACAGCTTGAAGTTGTGTTGATGTTACCACTATGATGTCGTCTTCTATCAGACGTTAGATTTGGTTGCCATACCTAATAAATACATGTCAGTATTTGACGTCAATATGACGTTGGTTTAAGATGTTGGCTTGACGTTGGATTTTGGTCACTTTCTAACAACCTAAAATCAACCAAATATCAACATCATTATTTATATTCATATATTTCATATATTTCATATTTCGTCATTATTGGACATCGAAATACCCTTGTCGTTAGACGCTGGCTAGACGTTGAAATTGTCACCTGATGTCACGACCTAACTCTAACCTAATATTATTGTCTTATAACATTGTGTGCCTGCTAAACAATAACAAAATGCACAACAGTATGCTACGTTTACACACTTCTACAAATTACATGTAAACACATCAGCTTTTTAAAGCGCAATACAAACTACTCTTAAGTACTTTTGAAAGGTCGTTTGTAATATATACAATGGATAATTTTACTCTACTTGCACTACATTTTTTAGGCAAGTAATGGTACTTTTACTTGAGTATGATTTTTCAGTACTGTTTACACCACTGTGTACTTTGCAGTTGAAACATGTTTGCTTGTTTCCAGATATAAAGGGAAAAGCTATCGGTCCACTATGAGGATTGTCCGGACAGCGGATCAAGTGTCAGAGTTTTGTCGTCGTGTTTGCGAGAGACTCCAGTGTTGTCTGAATCTTTTTGGGCCTACGTTTGTATCCGACAAGTGTCCTGAAAACTGCTCCAGCCAAACCAAAACCAAATACAGTGAGTCTTTTATTCCTCTACAGCAATAAAAAGTGACATCTGCTCTAACCTGGAATTAAAATGAAATGTTTCACAAAAGGTATCATTTTCTCAGAAACACACACACAGACTCACACGTAGCTCTTGCTAACTCTCAATGTGTCTTTGTGTTTATTTATTTTTATGCCTAATGTAGCATATTATAAGAAGAGGAAAGTCGGTCGGCCAAGTTTAGGGGAAAACGCACAAGATGGTGACCTGAGCAAGCCGGCAAGACGGCGGAAGAAACGCAAAGCCATCTTTGTCCAGAAGAAACGGCGCTCATCCATTGTAGGATACCACACCACAGAGTCACCTCAGGTCTGCCAAACCACACGGTCCAGACACAAGCACACACCCACAAACATTTAGCTGGAACATAGTAGTATGCAAATACATACTTTTGGAATGAATAAATATGTGGATAGAAGTGCAGAAGTCTATAGTTAAGTGTGATAAACTGTTATATAATATTTTTTGTTTACAAAAAAGCAAATACTTTGACCAATTACGATTTAGTAGGCTATAATAAATAAATAAATAAATGACTGTATAAATCAAATGTTTTCTATTGAAATACTTTGGTCACACTTTATTTTGATGTTTGTTAAATTGCATCAACATGTCAACTAATACTCAGTAGATTATAAGTAGACTGTTAGGTTGGGGTTAGGGTCAGGGTTAGTTGACATGTACTGTACTTGCAAAGTTTCTTATAGTCAGTTAAATATTTGTTGAAGGAGTAGTATCAATAGATATTAAGCAGAGAGTTTACTAATACTTAAATGGACCATCAAAACAAAGTGTTACCAATACTGGGCTCAAGATGCAGACTTTAGCATTTATATATATATATATATATATATATATATATATATATATATATATATATATATATATATATAAAATGTGATATGAGCATAATTTCAATTATTTCACGATTTAACATTGATTGGATGATTTGAGGGCGAGTGAATCTTAATAAAATACAAAATTACACAAAAATATACTAAATAAAATAAAGCAGAGAGATAAACAATAGAACAAACATAAAAATTAAATAAATGGATTTTGCTGGGGTCTAACAGTACTGCACAAAAATAAAATCAATATCTGAATGCAAATAACGCTGCATGGTATTCATTGTATAAATAAATAATTAATCCTTATTAAATAATTAGCTTGAAATTGTAAAGTCAGAGGCCTTAAAACACATCTAATTAAAAAATCTTTCACACTATTAGATGATAGTGTTATGAACTGTGTTTTATGGTTAATTATAATCTCAATTTGACATTGCAGATCCTGCTAAGTTTCTATGGCAGATGTGCACATTGCGTTATTGATGCTGAAACGATATATTGTGCAGCCCTAGCTGGAATCCCCCTCGGAGTGATGTGTAAAGAACCGGTGGGGTTATACCAGCTTGATCTCATGAGGACATATTTTAAGTATTGTCAGAAAAGTGGCTAATCCAAACAAATTCACATGATTTCATTCTTACAAATACATAAAAGGAGGTGTGCCCCCAAACCCCTACACCCAACCGTTGTTGGGAAATGAGTAAGCCATAAAAAATGTATGAGATTGTACATTTTCATATGAATTGGCAACCTAATCAAAAAGTTATGGATTTGCTGTGGGATTGCGTTGGTTTTATTAGTGCCGTGACCCAGATGGGAGTGATGTTTGTGGAGTTGAGTGTGACAGAGGTCAGCTAGTACAAGCTGTGGAAATAAATCTCATTCTGCTGACCTCGGGAGACACTAGCATTTCTTTCATTTATACTAGAATTCTAGCAACAACATAAAACCGGCGGGTTTTACAAAATGACAAACAAAATGCTTTTTACACGATATCAAATTCGATACTTTAGAGAAACTGACTAAATTGCCTTGATACTATCAAGTATCCAAAAATGTCAATCAATATCTACTTTGATACCTGAAATGATCAGTCTTGTCAGTGCTAGTGAACCAAGTATGTATGTTGGCAAATCTATGGCAAAAAAGCGAGTGACCACTGATTTTAGCACAAAAGGTGAATTGCTTCTGCCAAAGGATAACCGATCTACACACATGGAAATGAAACTCCGTTAAAGATGCAACTGTTAATCTTAAAAACTGATGTAAAGTTGTTCACCTTTGACTAAAATCTATTTGAACTTATTTGGACTGAGATATTGTTTTATGAGGTTTTGTTTGTGCTTTTAAGAGTTAAAAAAAACTTAAACTCAAAAAAATGTATTATTATGTACTCTTGTTAGTTTTATATTGATTTCAAAGTATCGTTATTGAAACATTTTGAATGATATCCAGGACTAATAAAAACATGTAAGAATAAAAAAACTCAAAAAGATTTGTATTAATCTTGATAATACTTTTTTCCATACCAATTTTATAAAATAGTTTTGTTCAGAAAGCAGTATTAAATTTAAAGTATCAGTATCGCTATCAAAAGATTTTGTATGATATCCAGCCATAGTAAAAGCTGTAGCATGTAAGAATAAAAAACTCAGGAACTGAAAAAGATGTGTTTTAATCTTGTTAAAACTAGTTTTATGAAATTGGTATCAAAAAAGTATTATTCAGAAACCAGTATTAAATTCAAAGTATCATTATTGGTATCAAATTTTTTTGAATGACATCCAGCCCTAGTAATTACTGTAACATGTAAAAGTAACCCTCTGTCTTTACAGGATAGCGATTATAACTACGATGAAGACGAAGATGAGGATTTTGAGGAATGGGGCAGTGAGGCAAGTTCCAGTTCACTACGTGAAGAAGCCTCTGCCCATAATAGCCTACCGAGGAGAGGAAGACCACCACGCCGTGCCGCTCTTCAGCGCAGGATGACCCATCCAGGATCAGAGACCTCAGACAGGATCTCTCCTAGAAGAACTACACGATCGGTCTCCTACAGCCAGAACCAGATGGCCAGAGACACAAATGTGAAGGTAAAACTTCTGTACAGACATTTTATTTTTTCCCTAACTTAATGTTTCTTTGATTTAGAGACAGATTGTATTATTTAAAACAAACTGTGCTCGTGCAGATGGAGAGTACCGAAGAGGAAGATCGTCTGGTATTGGACACTAATCCTTTACAATGGAGCGTTTCAGATGTGGTGGACTTCATTACGTCTACAGATTGTGCTTCATTAGCCAAGATATTTCAAGAACAGGTACAGTTCACCAATTATTTATTTTGTATATCTTATTAATTTTATCATTAATAATTTAAATCATCTGATGGTTATTTTTTTATATTCTTAATCTATTTTGTTTTTTTTAAATTTAAAATCCCCATTTGTTTAATTTAATCTAAATGTTAATCTTAGAATATTTAATTCATTAAAGAGAAACATATATTTAATCTTTGACTATTTAAACACTGATTTTTAATATTCTTAGCTTTTTCTTTTCATGATTTATTTATTTCGGTTCTTTTCTTATTTAGTTTTTTTGATCTTTTATTAGTAGTATTATTTTAAAGCTGAAATAAAACTTTTATTTTCTTTATTTTCATAATTTAAATAGTAAAAGGTATTTTTATTCATATATATATATATATATATATATATATATATATATATATATATATATATATATATATATATATATATATATATATATATATATATATATATATATATAAAATAAAATATTGCAACTATTGTTATTATTTATTAATAATAACAATTGTTATTATTTATTATATAAGAATATTGTTAGATACTCAGTATAACAAGTTAATAAATTATGAAATTTATAAGTAGGTTTTACACTGTTGCAAATGGTACATTTTCTTATGCCTGCATGCTTTTAAAAACCCTTAGGGCTCAAAAAAAAAAAAATACTTGCAAAATGATAAAATATAATCCAGTCTCAACATTGCATATACTCATGATGTGACTATTGCGAATGATCACATTGTGATATCGATGCTGAAAAAAATATATTGTGTAGTGTGATTTATGTTATTATTTTTTTCTAAATTAAAACTCTTAGAGAAGAAATCACTTGATATGTTAGTCAATAATAAATTAACAAGCATAATCAATTAATACATTAACAACATTTTTAACAATTCAGATGAAAAAATGCACACATTACAAAAGCTAGCAAAGCCGGTATTTAAAACAGCTAATATTTATGCTAACTTGTTCACTTTTCTTCATTCTCAAGGACATTGATGGACAAGCCTTGCTGCTGCTGACACTTCCTACAGTCCAAGAATGTATGGACCTAAAACTTGGACCTGCCATCAAACTCTGCCATCAGATCGAGAGAGTTAAAGTGGCCTTCTATTCCCAGTATGCTAACTAAGCTAACTTTCTGCCTCGGCAGATATAAAAATCAACAGATACCTATTAATGAAACTCAGGGGATGAAAAAGAGTCATTCCATCCATCAGGAAACCTCAGGCGGCCTCATAACCAAATGGAGACTTTTCCATTCACTTGCCTTCAATTTGAGATTTAGCCATGGAAAGGACATTTACTTTACAAAAACAGAGTATCAGTTTGTTGCACAGTCTCTCATCAAATATTCCAAGTCTTGACACTGCAGGTAAACAGGGTAAAATAATGTACAAATTTTTACAGTATCGTCATACTTCACAAATTAATAGATTACTCTAAAAATTGCAAATGTTTCCTAATACGTTATATTTCAATATGCAAATATGCCATTGTTTATTTAAATAGGCACTAATTTGCATTCGTCCAAGCACAAAGATCTGAACAATCAGGTTCAAAACCCTTGTTTCTTTTTATTTTGACAGTCAAAGGTTTTTATAAGGAATATTTTGGAAATCGGAAAAACATAATTCACAATTGTTTGGTTGAATGAAATGTATATAAATCAAATTTACATATGAACATATCCTACTGTAAAAACTTTGGAATGTAGATTTTAATAAAACTGTGAAGTTGGTAGTATTGTTCAGTGTAAAAAGTAATAATAATAAACAAATAAATACATTTTAATGGGAAAAACATTATTATAAAAACTATATGCATATCGCATGGTACCATTATATCTTCTGTAAACCTTAAATAATCAAAATATTATTGAACAAAATATATCACAAAGATTTTTCTGAAGAAAACAAAGTTCAGTTAAAGGCTTCAATAAATTGACAGTAAAGTGTGACCCCTAAATCAAGACCACAAGAGAATTAAAATCAGGCTTAAACATCAGTGCAGATATATTTTGTTTGTTTTTTCAGCCTTTAGCAGTTTAAAGCATGTCTCTGCTTTCTTTTTTGTCGGTAAAATAATGTGCCAATTCCACATTAACAGTTTGTGAACAAAAGAGGTTCATGAAGTGATGTGCTACCCTAGCATACAAAAATAAATCTAATTCAACCTAAAATTAAAATTCATATGTAATTTACTCATCCTCAGGCCATATTCAGTGTATAAGACTTTCTTTTGTCAGACGAATACTGTTGGAGTCATTTTAAATTTTATTCTGGCTCTTCCATGCTGTATAAAGATATTGAATGGTGACTTTTAATTTAGAAAATTTCAAAAGCTCATAAATCCTTTGTTAAATTAACCCACGCACCACCAGGGGGTCAACGTATGTTTTATGAAGCGAATAAATGTGTTCTGACGTGTTCTCAACCACCTCCACTTACTTGACATATTGATTCAAGATGCATTCATAGAGGATAGAATCTTACCACAGACTATGAACAAGGAAACTAGTTGTTTAGTATTATACAGTAGCGTCAAAGTCACTTTAAGACAAGTCATTTCACTTGGCAGCCATCTTGGGCAGGTTGTTCGGGCATTCTGTCTGAATGGGGAAACTTCAAATTCTCTAAAATTGCTTGCCAAGCTTATGATTAGATTTCAAATTATGAAACAACAATTACATTCAACTGTCTGCTTAGTTTCGTTTCTACACGTTTGAACCTGCAGAAATTCACATCTGGTTCCAGCCCTTCCCCCGGAGAAATATCAGTTTATATTGATTGCTGATTGGTTCTTGTACTAAAAGGCGGGGCTTCATTCGCCATATTGTCTGTTACACTTTTCCCTATTCAAAACTATACAAGTGACATGTCTTGTGTATTCTATAGTCTTTGGTAGCGTAAAGCCAACTATTTCTTCTGTTTGTCGTCACCTCTGTTGAAGAGCCAAAATAAAATTTAAAACTACTCTGACTTTGTTCGTCTAAACAAGAAAAGTCATATACACAAGGATGGCTTGAGCGTAAACTACGGGGTAATTTATATTTTGGGGTGGACTATTCCTTTAAAGCCCAAGATATGCTTGGTATTTTAACGTACACAGCCTTTCAAAGTTTGATATTGTGCACAAAGGGAAGTTCTTGATGTATACAGAAACGTTTACGCCATCCAGTGCTTTTTCAGCTCGTTTAAAAAAAAATTGAGAATATATTTTAATTACCTAATATATACATTTTTTTAAATAGAAACATACAATGTTTGCATTAGTGATCTGTTGTCGTTGTGTTTTTCCAGCTTGCACGCAAACTAAATAGTAAAAAAATAGTAATAAATTAGATTGAAGAACAAGATTTTGCGTTTAAAGGTAAAACTCCGATGCTAGGTTCACACCAAATGTGAACAATTTTTTTTTCGACCTCAAACTAAATTTCCACTCAAGTTAAATCTTTCTTGTGCACGATTCAAAATTAATGCGAATTCTGCATGTTCATGCAAAATCGTCATGCATTCCGCATAATTTACGTGCCTTGGCAGGTATTCGCATCTACGTGTTTGTATGCAACTCAATCATGCAAATACTTAATTCCATATTTGGTGTGGAATTAAGGGACACCATAAAGGGAGATGTGAATAGTACGAATTCTGATGGACAGAAGATAATTTGTGTAAACACTTAATGTGTGTGTGCAAATCATTAGGACACAATTTTATGACCTGGCAAATTCTGAAGAAATCGCATAAAATTCTAAGCCAAAAACAGAGGAAAACATTGTTTTCATTTCTTTCATAGTCTCTCTCTTTCTCTATATCTCGCTCTCTCATAAAAAATTTATATGAGGTATAATTATATTTTCTACAAAAATAGATTCTTTTTCAGTACCGAGTAGGCGATTTGAAGTGATTTTCATGCACATTTTGTCAGTAAAATCAGTTCTACTAAATCCCCAGCTCATGCATTTAATGCAGCAGATTTTACTACAATATAGAGCAAAACTGTTTAAATTTGAACTTGGTTTAGTTGGTCAATAATAACATTAGGACAATCATTCTACAAATTACAACATGTAATAACGTTTTTTTTTTTACTTCAAACTAGCCTCAAATTAAAGCCTAGCATTTGAAATAAATCCATCTGTGAGATAATTCCGCAGTCATGTGCTTTTTAGTCATGCTAAATATTTTAAATAATATTTAATCAATCAATGAAAGCAGTTAAATCTTCTGTTTATTCAGCAACCGCTATTTTCCTCAGTGGATTTCTTTGTGTGTCAATTGCATCTGTGATTTCAATTTGATTAATCGCCTAGCCCAATAGTTACCCCACATGTGTGAATTAAACAGGTTTATCCTCCTGATTGGTCAGCTTCAGATGCATTGACAAGTCAGATCATTCAACCAGACGCATTAAAAACCCCAGCCAACAGCTCCCAAAACGTTGTGACATGTTTAAAATTTATTAAGAGTTCGGGAGCCACTTGTCTCGTAAATTCCTCTCACATGATACAAGCTGCAACCATATGATCATCAACATTTTTCATGTTAATTCTTCCAATGGGAAAATATATTGTACAAGATCACACAACAGCAAAAAATTGCACAGTTTCAGCCCTGCTTTAACTAGTCTGAGCTGGTATACCAGCTAATAAAACTGGTGTTTAAATGATTTAGCTAGTTGGCCAAGTGGTCAAGCATCTAAATAACCGTCTAAAGCCATAGAAATAACTTAAACATAATTAGCTTTCAGCAGTTTCAGTGAGTTCTTTAAGGATAACTAGACAAAAGGAGATTTACATTTAGTTCCAGAAGTTTCTGAGGAAAGTATTTAGGATGAAGATTAAACATTGAAGATCTGTAGAACAAAAACAAAAACTGTGAAAATGTCCAATCCCTGAGTACACTGCACAATTTTTTTGACATTTAATTAACCTGTCAGGACCAAATTGTATTTATACTGGTGAATTTTATGTGAAGTGTTACCTTCAGAAGTCAATTAATATATTTGTAATATTTATTTTGTGCTGATAAACTATTTTTGTAATGTTTGTCATGTTAGGAGGCGAGTTTGGCATCCAGAATTCATTTGCTTGAAGTGCTGAGTAATATCAGGATAATATATATTTGATATATACCGTACTGTAGTGTGAGTACTTATATGTTGACTTGCATATTACACACAACAATATTGTTCCCAAAACCCTGTTGTAACACACCATGTGTTTACTTTAAAAATATAAGGGCAAATTAATTTGAGGATCTGCCTTTAGTCATGATCTATATTTCATGTAAAAACTAATTGTTGATCTATGCAAAATATAATGTTTTCTATGTATATATTTTGTTTGTAATGACTTTTCATAGTGATATATTTTTTACTTTTCTGTTTGATGACATTTAACGTGATTACAAGTAGAATGTAATAAAACTGAATTATGCTATTAAAATACTGTGTCCAATCATCAATTCCTCAATTTCCAGTGCTTGCATTATTGCAAAAAATAAAAACACATTGCACAAGGTGTGTTGTAATAAAAAAGACTCTTCACCAAGTAATTTTTGATCATACTATCCTTTTGTATGCAATCCAGAACATTAAAGAACTAGATTGCGCTTGTCTGTTTTCCAGTTTGCAATACATTTCAATGTATTTATGCCAATACAAACATAAATTCCAAGAAATCGTAGGTGAAGTAATGTGGGTTATTTTCAGCACATCCCACTCATACTGATGGTCAAGGCTAAAACATGATTATATTACATAACAGCAGGAGATATTATTTCTACCATGAGCATTTATTTTTATTTTAAATAAAAAAACACTTAGATAGATTAGCTTTAGGTTATTCTATTACTCTATTAGTCACTTGAGCGCTGATGTTTATTAACCCAAGTATGAACTGAAGTGTGTATGAGCACATGGAATGCATGTTTCTGATCATAAGAATTATAATAAAAGATGAAATCATGATTAGACACATGAAGGGTCCCCCCATCACCACTGTGACCTTATATTCTTGACATTTAAACACATTTAGCCCATACACATCCTTCACAAAATGACTCTAGGCTTCTTTATGTTTTGAAAATTTCCCTGTTCTGTTAAACATCATTTGGGAAATTATTAAGATTTTTTAAATTATTATTATTATTTATCATTTTTTCTTTAATTTTCAGTTTTACATTTTTTAAGAACCGTTTTAAGGTCAAAATTATTAGCCCCTTTAAGCTATATTTTTTCAATAGTCTAAAGAACAAACCATAATTATAAAACAACCTGAGTTATTAAAAAAAATAGTTATTAAAACAATTATTTTTAGAAAAGTGTTTTAAAAAAATCTTTTCTCTGTTAAACAGAAATTGGGGGGAAAAAAATCAAGGGAGATAATAATTCAGGGGGGGGGGGTAATAATTCTGACTTTAACTGTATATACAAATAGTTTTCTTTTTTATTGGTTTTTACAGCAAAGGTGTCAAGACTTTTATTTAAAATGTTTTGTTTTGTTTTCACAGCTTAGGTGTCCAGACTTTTTCTTGTAATTTATTTTTTTTTGTTTTGTTGTGTTTTGCTTGTTTTGTTTTTTTACAGCATATGTGTCCATTTTAGTTTTTAGTTTATTTATTTCTATTATTTTAACATTATATTGGCATTAAAATGTCAGGTGAAATGTGCTCAGCAATACTATAATGCAAAAACATTAAATAAAATAAAAACCTTCTGTTTAACATTCAACTTTTTAAATCTATGTTTCAGTTATTAATAACACCATCTTTAAACATACAAACTGGGTCTAGACGCTTAAGATATATTTATCTTAAAGCTTCATGGTTCATTACCAGAAATGATCTTTGCGCAGTGTGTTACACATGTTAGAAACCCACACATTGCCACCTCTATAATAGACATTAGACCAACCATCAGGAGAACAGAAGTGAGTGAGAACAATATAATCATTTATCATACTATATATATTACAATAAATGACTTTTCATATTTCATAAAGCTTGACATTATGACCATTAAGTGTTTTCTATTGAGTCCAACTGTGAACCTATTTGTTCGACTGCCATTTCTCACGGTTGCCAGGCAACATCATTTCAAAGGTATGCTGAGGGCCAGTGATGCGTCTCTCCATAATGGAAATGCTGGGTGTTTCACAGAGAAATGTAAAGTAGCATTTTAAGAAAGCATACCCAGAGAGAAAAGAAAAAGGCATAAATGGTATTGTAATACCTTCTAATAGATGGCAATTAAAATATGTGGGAGACAAATTAGTTTTGCTTTAATCTTCTAGTTTACCAAAATATCTCCTGAGGACAAAAATCTCAAGAGATAAAAAAAATCCTAAGTTGTCCTACAAACTACATGTGGATGTCTTCACTGTATTATTCATTAAGGATTTACAATTCTATGAATAATATGTATGTGTGTTTTTTTCTAAATAATTAGGTATAGCAGCATGTTTTCCAATAAGAAATATAATGTGTAAATATCAATTTGTTTATTTTATTATACCTAATCAATTGCGTATCTTGTTCACTACCTACAGTGTTTTTAAACCGAATTCAGATATTCAGGAATTAAAATGGAATTTCAGATGTTTTATCATGCAAAGAGGTACACAGATGACATTAAAGCAAATATAAATGTAAAACTAATAAAACAAAAAACAGATTTGAAAAAAATAATAAAAGACAGTCATGTGTAGCCAGGTGTGCAACATGTGTGCATGCAGAGTTAACTGAGTGAGCAGGTCAGTGTAGAGTATAAAGAACCATAATTGATATACCAGTGGTGGAAAGAGTACTGAAAAATCAAATAAATGTACCAGTACTTGCCCAAAAATGTCGTGTACAGTAAGTAGAGTAAAAGTATCTGTTGTAAATATTACTCAAATTATGAGTAAAAAGACCTTTTTAAAGTACTCAAGAGTAGTAAGTATTACACTTTGAAAAGCTGATGCATTTGCATGCAGTTTATGCAGGGATGTATAAACGTAAAATTCTTTAGTGCATTCAGTTATCTTTCTATAATTCTTCATTCCTTCGTTCTATCCTTCCTATGTTTGTTTGTTCATTCTGTCCTGTCTGTGTTTGTTCCTTCCTTATTTAGTTAGTTAGTTAGTTAGTTAGTTAGTTAGTTAGTTAGTTAGTTAGTTAGTTGGTTCATTATGTCCTTCCTGTGTTCTTTTCTTAGTTAGATTTTTTACAATAAAACCAAGATCAAGTGTAGTAGTTTTTTTTTTTTTTTTTTTTTTTTTTTTTGCTGTGTGTGTAAAACATTATTTAAAACAGTCATTCTGTAAATGACATTGACAGTCATTATTTGAAACAGTAAAAACATGGTCAACCATGGTAGAGGGGCAGTCACAGGCTTGTGGTATTCAGCATTGTTCAACTTTATAATTTATATTCATAAAATAGGAGTAATAGCAACCTTAAATAAAAACATACATAAAAAAGAAGTAATGGCAACCTTAAATAAATAAATACATAAATAAAAACAAAATTGAAGTACTAGCAACCTTAAATAAATAAATAAACAAATAAAAAGAGTAATAGCAACCTTAAATTAATTAATAAAATAAATAAATAAATAAATAATAACAACTTTAAATAAATAAATCAATAATTAAAGAGTAATAGCAACCTTAAATAAATAAATAAAGTAAAAAGAGTACTAGCAGCCTAAAATAAATAAATAATTGAATAAATAAGAGTAATAGCAACCTTACATTATTAAATAAATAAATAAATAAAATAGGAGTAATGGCAACCTTAAATAAATATACATAAATAAATAATTAAATAAAATTAGAGTAATAGCAACATTAAATAAATAAAAATAAATGAGTAATAGCAACCTTACATTGTTTTTTTAAATGAATAAAATAGGGTTAATATCAACCTTAAATAAATAAATAAATAAATAGGAGTAATAGCAACATTAAATAAATACATAATTAAATAAATAAATAAAGTAAATAAATAAATATTAGGAGTAATAGCAACCTTAAATATGTAAACAAATAGAGTAATAGTAACCTAAAATAAATAAATAATTAAATAAATAAAAGTAATAGCAATCTTACATAATTAAATAAATAAATTAAATTAAATAGGAGTAATGGCAACCTTAATTAAATTAATAAATATACATAAATAAATAATTAAATAAAATTAGAATAATAGCAACATTAAATAAATAAATGAATAATAGCAACATTACACTGTTATTTAAATGAATAAAATAGGGTTAATATCAACCCAAAATGAATGAATGAATGAATAAATAAATAAATAAATAGGAGTAATAGCAACCTTAAATATATGTAAACAAATAGAGTAATAGTAACCTAAAATAAATAAATAAATAATTAAATAAATAAACAAAAGAGAAGTAGCAATCTTACATTAATAAATACATAAAGTAAGAGTAATAGCAACCTTTAATAAATAAAAAGAAATAAATGAGAAGAGTAATAGCAAGCTAAAATCAATAAATAAATAAATAAAAAGAGTAATAGCAACCTTAAATTAATTAATAAAATAAATAAAAAAATAAAAAATAGGAGTATAATAGCAACAGTGTATCAGTTGAGGGGGGTGTAGATTATAAAAACTTTTATTATATAAATATAATAAGTGAAAGCAACAATAAAAAATAAATAAATAAATAAATAAATAAATAGTTTTCATAACAGCATGTTCATGTTAAAAAAGAGCTTCAGGCTTAAAGCGGTGAATGATGTCGTTACTCGAACTTACTGTACGTTATAGCAGGTGCTTGTACAGTCAGCCACAGTTTTTTTTTCATCCACTAAGTCATCCTCAAACATCAAATAGTGTGGGAAATTTAATTTGAACATTATTTGCATTACAGAATATTAAACACTCTGCAGTTAAAAGGTTTTCTCATGCCATGAAACCTGTGAAGTGGGTTTCTTCGTGGCACAGCATTGCTGACATGGCTATTCTGTCAGATTTGTGTCGTTAAATGTGTATGATTATGAGTATGAGTCTGTAGATAATATCAGAACATGGCAGCACATGAGCACTACTGGTGTAAAAAAAAGAAAAGCTGCTTGCATCGGTTAACCACAAAAGCTCATGCTCATACTAACACACCTGAAACTGGGTCACGTTCGACCTTCGGGGGGGTGACAGGGGCTAGTTTAAATTGTTGGCTGCTGTTTTTCCTTTTGAAATAAGCTTCCTTTTAGATTTGCACACTTTTGCATGCTATCGGAAATCAAGATACAGCTCTTCAAGGATGACTTTTTCCACCCTACTTTTGTTACCGCAGTGGAGATGAAAGATGCAATACAACACAAACTTGTACAGACTCACACTGTACACACCTGCTTTAAAATGTACTTCCATGAGTGCTTAGCATTTTGTCATTTTTGTTGTTGTTGTTGTTGTTAATGGTTATTCCAATATGGATCACTTTTTTAAAGA